ATTATTTGCCTCTGTTTCATTAGTCAATAATGTTAGCAATTGCTAGTAAATAACAGTTAGCTCATGTGGTCCATGAGGTCAGCAGTGCTTTACTCACACTATACAGACTGCAGGTAGAGCTTCCACTATTGCCCGGGCCACTTTCTGCTTGGCCTATTGGTACCTATCAACTGCTTCCGAAGTCCCACAGGCTAACAATGCCCGACAGGACTCCTTCTATAGCTTGGTGGCTCCCTTCACCTCTGGTGTCCACCATTTGGTTCGGGGGTTACCACAACAACACGCACCTTGTGCCTTGTGGCCACAGCTCAGTGCAGTGGCTTCAGCAATGGAGGTACTGCACATGATCCATTTGGACTCAATGTCCCCAGTCTCCCTCAGAATACTGTTGAAGCTCTGCTGGACGTGTGCGTTGAAGATCTCGCGGACCATGGCCTCTATCAGGAATTCCCAGCGCACCCTCACTATACGTTTAGGTGTGCCAAGTTTGTCCAACATCCCCCGCCACCTGATCCAACTGACCACCAGGTGGAGATCAGTTGACAACTCAGCCCCTCTCTTCTGGTCTCCAGAACATATGATCTTAGGTCTGGTTATACGATAATAAAATCGATTATCGACCTGTGGCCCAAGGTGTCCTGGTGCCACGTACCATTATAGACACCCTTATTCTTGAACATGGTGTTCATTATGGACACTTCATGTATCTCATAAGCAACACACTTTAGTTGTTTATACAAAGCGTAAAGGTAAAAAACATTGATGGATGAGCAGAAGAAGATGAATGGATGCATGAATGGATGTAGAAAAAGATGCATTCATGCTGCTTATTGCAGTTTGACCTTTAATTCCTGTGCTTCTAAAACTAAATGTAACTTTGAGCTCTGGTTAGGATCCTACATTAGTCATATTCATTGTTATTTAGTCCATCACAGTTTTACATACCTACTCTTTGCAACTTTATCACAGGTTTCCAGATGGTCTTTAGCAGTCTGAGTCGCTCTTCCCCAGTCCAGACGATAATGCCTTCAGCCTCTTGCTTCAGTCCAAGCTGCTCTCCCTCCTGACTGCTGCAGAGCTCCTCCTGTTCCTCTTTAATCTGTGGAGGCTCTGGGTCCTCCTGGTCCAGACTGGAGTTCCTCTCCTGGTTACAGACCTGCTGCTCATACAGACCCTCCTCTTCCTCATGTTGGATGTCTTGAGGAACAAAGAACCACAAAAGGGTTATTAATCTTATAATATAAAAACACACAAAAACTGTTTACCCTGGGTCCTACAAGGATAGTGTTTCTCACCTGTGTGAACTCTCTGGTGTTTAGTAAAGTTATATTTTTTGCAAAAAGTTTTTCCACAGACGTCACATTGGAAAGATTTTCCCCTTGTGCCAGTTTGACTCTGACTCATTGACACAGCAGTGTTGTCTACTCTCTTATTGCAACTTCTCTTTCTGTAACGTCTCCTGTTCTTCAGCTCTGCATTTCTAGTTGATCCTGAGTCCACATGCTGGCTTTCTTCACTTTCCTCATAAGCAGGCGTCACCATGAAGGTATCAGTCTCCTGTTTCAGTCCAAGCTGCTCTCCTTCCTGACTGCTGCAGAGCTCCTCCTGTTCCTCTTTAATCTGTGGAGGCTCTGGGTCCTCCTGGTCCAGACTGGAGTTCCTCTCCTGCTGCTCATCCAGACCATCCTCCTCCTCACAGTCATTTTGTTGTGGGAGGTCTTGAGGAACAAATAAAAAGAAGGAAATGGTCATTACTGTGATTACACAAAACTATTTTTACAAAAGCATGTGTTAAAACCTGAAAAAAGTTTTAGGTATTGGAGAGACGGCAACCACAGACTGCAATATGAGTGGTGTGCAGTGAGGTGTTGATCGTGTCAAATAAAATATATGAATATACAATGCTTTCATCAGCTGAGGTGCTCCCTGGTGGCACGCTCAGGTGCCATGAGATACTGCAGTAGTTTGGGGTATAATTTAAAGGTATCAATGATGCAGAAATTTTCAGGTATTGATGATGCAGAAAATACATGAATTTTTTTCCATATTTGAAATAATCAAGTTCAAAGTTTCAGATCTTAAATGTGCAATTCTCAAACACAAGCAGCAACAACAAACTGATCAGACACTTAAACATGGAAAAATAAAAAAATGCTAACAAAAGAAAAGTGGCTAAAGCTAAAGTTTCCAGAGCTCAGAGCCAACCATAAGCTAGCAGCCTCAGTGTAAGCAAAGCCTCAAAACAGTTAGGAGTGAAATTATAGAAACAAGGGGAAAAGAGAAAAGGCTGGATGTTGGATTTATAAGCATACTGGTAATGACACCAGCATGTACCTGACATTTGTTTGTTCTGTAAATGTGCTACACCTACTTTTGTTTGCTAAGGAAGAATATGTCAGGTAAAGGTGGGTTTACAGAAACTCATTTTCAGTTCATTATTTGTAACCTTTTCCAAAATTACAATTGTGGACTTTCATAATTTTGTGATGAAAACATGTTTTGTATTGAAGAAAAGTTTACTTTTGTTTGTAAATGCTGTCAATCAAAGCTCTTAGAAAGAAATTCAAACTGAGCAAAAATCTGAAAACTTGGAAATCAGAACGAGCCACAAGTTTATAGTTTATAGACTATATAGGCTGTAGAAACACAGACACACAGAAGACATTACAAAATTTAACCAAAACCTATTATTAGACAACACTACAGTAACGAAAGCACTAGTATTGTGATTATGTACACAGCCTTGTATCTTTGCAGCTTTTAATTTTTTTGCATTTTGCTTTTTTTTAGTCATTTATTTTTTAGCTGAACCACTTCATTCAAGACTTAAAACTCTTTCTAAGGATTTTTCTGAAATGTCAGTGAAGAAAATGAATGGAAAATCATTTTCTTCACTTAAAGTGAGTCCTTAAAAAAGACTCACCGCCATTGTTGCTTTTGTCAGCTTATGTTAAGTGCTTTTCTAGAACAGGTCTCATTCACTCATACACACACATTAATTTCTAAACCTAAACACTTCCTGAAATTCACACATTCACAATACAATGGATGCATCAGGGACAGCCCAGGATTCAGCACCATGTCCAAGGATACCACATGCAGACTAGGGGAGCCGGGAATTAAACCACAAACCTTCCAGCTATGAGACAACAAGCTCTACAAGTGAAACCACAGTGGAAACAGAATATTCACTGCTTACTGCATTTCAGCTTATGTTACATGTGCACAACAACAAAACAAGCAAGTGTTACCCGTCTTCTTCAAATGGCCTATTAGTAACAAGGTAGCTGCTTCAACAACCCCCAAGACAGCAAAATATCATGTGTTTCATATGCATCATATGCTTTCTGATATGGCACAGTGTAATTCCTGACCATCTTTAATGCTCTCAGAGCAAACACTGCAGTAGAGCTCTTTCTCTATCTCAGCATGTAGTCATCACCTCTCACCTTTACCCAGCTTCAGCAGCTCTTTCCCAGTTCTATGGTACTGATCATCGGTTTATCCCTCTGTAGTATTTACTCCTTACTATCCCTGCACTTCCTGATTCACTAGCTGTGCCCCATCTGTTCTTCCTCTGTCATTCTCTGCATTCATCAGCTCCTCATTCTTTTAATATTCTCATCACACTCTTTACTTATTTGTATTTCCATCTCTATCCTGACCCACCCTATCTTGTTGCACACCCCTTCCCGCTCGATCTCTCTGTTTAACCAGTCGATAAAACTCATTTTCTCTGCTAGCTTTTGCTGCAGATGTAAAGACATTAATTACAGCATTATTTATAATGTGGACAGCTTTTGTTCTGCTTTGGAGAGTCACTGTGTGTGTTCACTTTGAGGCTCCCATGGAGAATAAATGGAATAAACAGTTGGTGTGTAAGAGTGTGTGTGCTCACTATCACCGTTTGCTCCTCTGAATTCATCACCAAAGTAACAGCTTTCTGCTCTCAGCTAACATCATTTTAGAGAAATCCCGGAGACGCTGATAATCTGTCAGATTTATCACCAATCAATCAAACATCGAAGAATCTGAGTTTAAAGAGAACAGAGTTAAAAACATGTCCATACCTATGATGTGTGAGTTTCTGTCGGGTTTCCGGTTGATCTCCTCCTCACACTGGACCATCCTCTTCTTGATGCTCTGATCGGTACCTGCGTGATTTGTCTGTCCGTTGGTCCTGATTCATCACACATCAGCCATGTTTCTGTAGCCAACGCTTCGCTCCTCCCCATAGTCCCCTGCTCTGCTGTGATTCGCTGTCGTGTGGTCACGTGACTCAGCAAACGCACGCAGATTCGTTGAACTGTAAGAGTTGAAGATTTGTGTCATCTCCGGTTACACGACTGCACCTGTGTTTATTTATTTATTTTTCATGGATCCCCTTCTTTCTATAAATGAAGCCAAGTATTTTTCTCCTCCCGGTGTCAGTGGGATAACCGTACATGTACACTTATTCTAAATTTGTCTCACATTCCTACATGTATCCTAGATTATTTTATACAGTCCACTGATGTACACTTACTGATGTCTGAATGACAGTAAAGTGGCTATTCTATTCTATTCTATTCTATTCTATATAAATCTACATAAATCAAGTGTTTATATGTGATTATACATATAAACACAATTTTATACTCCAATGTGGTAAACTTGGAGTATAAAATTGTGACTTGAATTTTCGGTATGATGAGGAATATTTTAAAATGAAGATAATTCATTTTGAAATATAACAATAAATGTTAAGGTCTGACTGATATAATGTGGCTGAATGATGAGTAGACCCAAAGAGCTACTGTCTGTATATTTGTATGGTGCCAGACCACATTCTGCAGAGAGAGATAACAGGCTATCAATGACAGAGTTCAAACAGCAATAGAGGACAAATTACAGCAGACAACAGGCTTATATGATTTTTTTTTTCTGTGTTATCAATTGGATGGAGAAGCTGGTGGATGCTGGGTAATCTCAGACCAGAGGCTAAGCAATATCAAAAAAATAGTCTACGAAAAACAAATAATTTTATAGTGTTAATATACTGAACTTTCCCCAAGTTCGTCAACTGGGAATAAACCAGCCAAAATACTCTCCACCAGTTAGGGCAAATCTTACTTTCAAACTGATCTCTTCATATTTCTCCTTGAGTGCAAATAAAGGAGTGTTAGAGTGTGTGCTGTGGTTTTTTCTTGAAGTTTGACAATCCTTTCTAACAAGTATTTCCAGCTGTTTGTCTCCCCTACGCACGTTCTGACTGTATGTGTCCACCAGGTGTCTCCCTTGGCTCATTTAATCAATGAGCTTCATTTGACTTCACATATGAAGTCAAATGAAGCTCACTGAGCTCAACATGAATTTCTAACAGAAACAACAGAAACAAAAGTGAGTGCAAAGGCAACCAAAATATTTGGCGCATGCTGTGAAGAGTGAGTGGTCAAAATTCAGGAATTCCTTTTTACCATCGATTTTTACTGTGCTGATGTTAAAACATGTTGTTAGGTTTTAATAAGACTCACATGGCTCTAGATTTGAACTTGGACTGGCTGTATTGTGTCTGGTCAGTTTAAGTCTATTAGTGAGTGATTTAAAAAATGTCCTCATGTAAATCTTAAATGGTCTATATGGAGGTAGTAGAGGGCACATACTAGTGACATAGATGAGTGTTTACAGCCATTCAAACATGTTATGATCATAAACTGATTATTTTTTTTCTTCAAAAAAAGCTTTACACGACCAACAAACACCTGGAACATCAGTTTCCTGGTGAACTTTCAACCCAGAAGTATTAACATTAACAAGCTAAAATGCACTCATTCATTTTTAGTTTGCTGCAGTTAAACTGAGACATTAGGTAGTTACTATGCCCACAGGAGGGTTTTGTTTTTCATCCACAGCAGAAAAGCTCTAAGCATGGTGAACTTCCATATTTTCTCTCCCATGTTTCCTCAGCATGTTTCCTGTATTAAAACTTTAAAAAAAAGCAACTCATTTTTCCAAACTGAATACAAGTCGTAGTCACTGCTGATACAGGAGTATTTGTCTTAAGTATTAATAACTAATATTCTAAAATTCCACTTTCTTCGATTCATGCTGCTGTGGGAAACAAAAATGAGGAGTGATGAATAAAAATGTTAAGTGAAATTAAGCTCATTGTGAAACCTGGCCCACCTTATCATGTGATTTCCTGAGGTCAGATGGCCCAGGATGTGAGTGGGCGTTAAGGCGTCTGGGGAGGGAACTCAAAACTGGATTATAGATGG